TTAACGTTGTGTTTCACGCCATTGCTTTGGCAAGTATCCGTCAAACGAATTAAAACCGAAAGCGTAATATGACTTATCAAGTCTGTTTGCGCTGCTTGTTTCAAAGTGAAGCGGGCACATTGCGCACGCGATCAGCTCGTGCTCCGGTGTTTTCCGCGTATCAGAGCGGCTCAGTGACTGCAGTCAGTGAACTCCGTTATTGAATGTGCTGTGAGTTTAGCGCGTTTGGGGACGCAACGGCCACCACTTATGCATCATTTGTACATTTGCATAATTTTTTAACATTTTAATGGGCAAATGTTTACAGTATTTCAATAATTTAGTAATGTTTGTAAACCTGTTTTCACAGAAGCTGGAGTTTTCCAAAACTCTTCAAAATAAAAGTTCAACTGAAGTTTCCTCCAAAATAAAAGCTCAAGTTTATCTCTTGCAAGCATGGCCTAAAATTAACAGACACGCACAGAGAAAATACTGTACAGGTACAGCAAGCTCACTGTTCGGAAGAAAAATATAAATATTGGGGTTGGGGTTTATATGAATGTATTTCTGAAGGGAACTGACTTCACAAAAGTTTCGATAGTAATGTTTGTAAACCTGTTTTCACAGAAGCTGGAGTTTTCCGTCAAAATAAAAGTTCAACTGAAGTTTCCTCCAAAATAAAAGCTCAAGTTTATCTCTTGCAAGCATGGCCTAAAACTAACAGAGGCGCACAGAGAAAATACTGTACAGGTACAGCAAGCTCACTGTTCGGAAGAAAAATATAAATATTGGGGTGGGGGTTTATATGAATATATTTCTGAAGGGAACTGACTTCACAAAAGCTTCAATGGCATTTTCCCCTTCTTATCACTGCTGATCCATAAGCGCCATCTGCTGTCAGAGTGAATTTGCGTTCGTTAATTTGTGGTTACCATGGTTTAACAATAGTAACCATTGTCTTTGGATTTATAGTAAAATCATCGTTAATTTTCGTAAGGGTTGTGTTGTTGTCTGCCCTAGCTCCCCCTAAATCTATTATAAAATATACTGTATATTTATATATTATAAAACGATTATTTGTCTGCTAAATTACCATTGTAACTTTACAATAGATAATGTCCTTTAGGCTAGTATACAGTATTTTGAGTGATGACTGTTTAGCAATGGGCTGCTACTGCTTAAGTACAAAGACAAAACAACAATATCATATTTACAGATGAATCTGACCTGCACTTGAAATCCTGAACAGTAGTTTTGCTTCTCTGCTCCACCTGTGCGCTTCCACAGTCCACTCCATTCTCTTTCTCTCGCATTGTTTACTCTGATCGAAACCGTTTGGCGGAGGCGCGCGTGAGCCGAAGCATTGCCGGTCACGTCTAACCGATTCATGATTTATTAGAGATTTAATATTGAATGGCGAATTCGGAAATAATCGCTTTAATACATAAGGCAGGCAATTATGTAATAATAATAATATATATTTAAAAAAAAGCAGCGGGCCAAATCGGCTGCTGATAAGGGAACTGACTTCACAAAAGCTTCAATGGCATTTTCCCCTTCTTATCACTGCTGATCCATAAGCGCCATCTGCTGTCAGAGTGAATTTGCGTTCTCAATCAGCCTGTCTGTTTTTGTTTTATGCAGGTTTTATCTTTGTATCTTTGTTTGATTAAAATGCAGTGGTTGGTTCTAATTTCAAATCTATTTTTTTTATTAAATATGTTTAGTTGTTGTAGTAGTAGCAACTGTACAGTACAACAGTAGAGTAACACTACAACAGTAGAGTAAGGTAAAATAATATACCTGGGGAAAAAATCATTTATATTTATTTCACAGTGCAATTGTTTTACAATATATGCCTATTACTGTCATAGGAATAATACTATAAAATTATTATTATTATTATTTTATTCTAATTTGTTTGGCTTCCAAATTCACCATTGAGATACAATAATAATATTAAAATAGCGGGCCAAATCGGCTGCCAGGCCACCGGGAATTGTCCCGCGGCTGCTGATGGCGAGTCCGCGCCTGATTTCCACAGAGACACGCAGAACGTGCAGGATTCATGTTTTGTCTTTTTGCGGCTTAATATTCACAGACACTATAGTCCATATCGCGTTTTGATTCAAGTGTACTTACCTACTTTTTATTTATTCATCCAAAATGTGGCATATTCCTTGACATTCCGCGTAATAGGAGTTCTGTTTTTATGACTGGATTCTACAAACCACTCCGTGTTTTCCGCATCGCGGCCGTATGTCTCATATTTTAGAGTAGTCAGTGCAATTTGGGAAAGAAATCAATTAAATCTGAATGTGGACGCGTGCAAATATTCAAATGTAACCTCCTTTGTAATCGTTAACGTTTTCATAAGTAACTAATTACACATTTTTTCTTAGTAACTGTAACTGATTACAGTTACATTTATTTTGTAATTAAATTACGTAACGCCGTTACATGTAACTAGTTACTCCCCAACACTGGATTTACTACATGGACCTTATACAACTGGTAGATTTTAATATCAAATATCAATATATACAGATTTTTTGTCGTATGCTGTAAACTTCTACAGCATATCAATTGTTCTTGTTTAGATTTGAGAATTTATATTTGTCCACCATAGTTTATACATTGAATACAATATCCAAACAATCTTGTACAGCTCTTTGTATAGTCTAAGGGTGTATTCACACCAGGAAAGTCTGCTAGTTCACTTGCTTTGGTCCGGACCAAATACAATGTTGTTGTTTTTTTTGTTTGGTGCGGTTCGCTTTCACACTTCCCTTTTTGCAAGTTATCCACAAATTGTAAACAAAACCACACGTGTGCTAAGGTCATCCATTCATTGGTTCATCCATTCAACCGTACCAGAGTTCGTTTGG